AGCGCTGGCGTGTGGCGGCATTTCAGAAGATTGGCTGCCAACACTCCATCAGGTTGTCTTACTTCCTGGATTTTTAAAATCTCAGTAACAGGCTAAAAAATTTATCCCTGTGCACACACATACAAAAAAAGCATCATTAAAGAAATACCTTTAAATTGCTAAATTTGAAAATTCAAGCATCTCATTAAAAAAAAGATTCTTAAAGAAATCCAAACTTTCTAAGATGTCTGTGAAGCTTAATGTATCCTAAATGTATTATGGAACAGAGACTATAATTGAAGGTTGTATTTTATTACACAGACACGCACGAAACTCTCTAGGACACAAAAGCTTATTTTTCTCATCAGTTACCTTAGCATTTTCTTTTAAAGGTAATCCTTTTAAATACCATAGGATAGAAGTTAGTTAAAATGAATAAATTATAGAACTAAAGGCAGTGATAAAGATTACGCTTATATTTAAAAAGAACATAAAATATTATGCATTGTTTGAGCGCTCGCTTGCTTGTTTTTTCAATGTATGGTCTAAGAAAAGAAGGATATCGCAGGTATCAATAGCCCTGGGCTGTTTAATTCTGGGCTTTTTAACTAATCAGTTTTCCTATGTTCCTGCTTTATGAAGTGGGTATAATATCTGCCCTTCCTATTTCATGGGGTTGTTGACAAAATCAAAAGGGACACACACAGGGGAGAGGGTATGTGGCATCAGTGCATGATTTAAATCTAGGTTCGAATTCCGGCTTTTCTGCTTACCCCTGAGCCTCCATGATCTAATCTGTAAACTAGGAACATTAATACTTTGCGGGGCTATTGTGAGGACTAACTAGACTAATCACTGAGAGAACACCTGACCCACAGCAGGCTGGAAGGATTGTCTGTGGTCCCAGTACTCAGAGAAGTACAAAGGTGTGGACAGGTGTGAACAGTAGTGATTAAAACACATTGGCCCTAAAGGGAAGATTTTATGGATTTTTTTTTTCCAGTTCAATTGGAAAAGTATGTAATCAGGAACATTATCTTATTTTTCTGAATCTTCCTATGGAATGTAGGATCTTCAAGGAGAAGCTCCTTATCACTTGCTTCATCTGAAGATTGATGTGGAAAAGAACAGATTCTTAGCCTTGGTAGAAGAATGCAAAACTGAGCTGGAGCGAGAGACCAAGCTGGTGGCCCAGGAAGGCAGCGAGAAGATTATTAAAGAGCACAGGGTGTGTCTCCCCACCACCAAGCGCACAGTAGCGTAAAGTCGCGTTGCTACAGAAAGGATATAACTGATACTTCGGTTTGGGTCTGAAAAAAATAACTTAATTACTCTACATCAGTTGTCTGCATAGGAGTCTTCCTTCGGTTTCTCTATGAAAATATGAAAGTGTTGTATGGCTTCTCACTGAGATTATAAAAACGTTTCTTGCTCATTAGGTTTTCTTCAGTGATAAAGGTCCTCATCACCTCTGTGAGAAAAGGTTACAGCTCATCGAGGAGCTGTGTGTGAAACTCCCAGTCCGGGACCCAGTGAGGGACACATCAGGAACCTGTCACGCGGCTCTCAAAGAGCTCAGAGCTGCCATCAACAGCACCTACATGAAGCTCATGGAAGACCCAGACAAGTGGAAGGACTTCGCCTGCAGGTAACCTTGGAATTGTCTCCAGAGAGAGTGTAGTCTATCTTAATTCTCTTAGTTCAGAGAGCACTACAAAACAAGAAATGAGATGTATTTCATTTTATGCATTAAAGAAAATTAGATTGCATGATCTTGCTGATATTCTTGTACAAAAGTGCTTCATTTGATAAAAAGAATGGGTTTCAGTAGGAAATAGGGTGAGGCACTTTATTTCCGAATGCCCCAGATGTTATCTCTGTGAGACCCAGTTGGCCAATCCTTTTCTTGTTGATTTCCTCATATCCTTGAAGGGGGCTTCTGCACATGGGGGTTAGTGTCCCACCCTGGGCTTCATGTTAAAGGAACAGTTTCCAGAAAATTTGTCAATTCGCTAACCGCTTGATTGTTAAATTCCCATGAGTGAATTCAAAATAGAAGACGTATTCTAGTCATTCCGGTATTTTCTCCCTTTAGTAAGAAAATGCTTGTGTTATTTCAGATTTTCCGAGTTCTCCTCTTGGATATCTGCAAAGGAGACACGATTGAAGGCTATCAAGGATGAGGCCATCAGTACTGCCAACCACGGAGAGGTCACACATGCTGTTGAAGTAAGTTCTTGGCCATTGTTTGCTAGAGGAAAATTTCCAATAATAAAAAACAAAAGCTAGACAATCTAACAGTTGTCTTTTTTTTTTTCCTTGAAAAATTTAAGTTCCTGGAATTGTCTTTAAAATAAGTCTCATGATACTGTGGAGAACTGTAGGGATTTTTTCCTATTGAATCGTTGGTAGCTTTCAGAGTCAGCCATACTCAGTGGTGCCTCTAAAGCATTTTTAGCTAATGGGGAATCCTGAGTGGAAAATTGCCTGCGTGGGTGTATCACCCAGCAGAGGCTTAAGAATTGTCATGGAAAACAAGAACACTATATGCTTTTACATAATACATATTTCAGACATGAAAAAGCGAGATCGCAGAAAAATCAAGGAATCGGGCAAGGTCTCTAAGCATCTTTTCTATGTCGCACGGAGGCTGGATTGGTTCATTTCAGCCTCTGTGAGTTTGAATACAGCCTGATAAACCTGGCCCGGGCCTCAGAGCCTCAGGCCTGAACACAGTTGCGTTCTGCGAATGGCACTCTTTCACTCTTACGCACGCTGTTGTGGAAATTCCCCGTCTTTCAGCAGTCTTAACACTTGCAAGTCACATAGTTGCTGTTAAGGAGAATGTATTCCCTTTCTGTTCCTGTCCTCTGAGTCCTTTTTTTCTTTCAATTAAATTATATAATCTTCTGCAGTGCTAGAGATGCTCAGTAATGTCACAGCATCCATTTGCCACTAGTTGCTGTTATAGCACAAAAAGTATTCACATCTTAGAATGAAGAGATCTGTGGCTTCTGGAACCATCTGTTTTCTGGCTAGTGTGCAGCTGCCTTGTAAAAGCCCTGGAGCAGCCCCGTTTGGAGACCCCCGCCCCCCGATCCCTGTGTCGCCCCAGAGCTGGTGTAGGAGACACAGGCTGCCCCAGTCACCACTCCATCAGTCACCAGCCCTGCAAGGCCTGAAACCCCAGAGTCTTTCTAGCATTGTCCTGGCCAGTAAACCCTCCCTTGCTGGATTAGAGCTGTGATCTTAATATATGGGGTGTTGACTTTAAAAGGTAACAAAAATGAGGCAGAAAATGCAATAAACTTTTAGAGCATCTATAACGATATTTTACAAGTAAACTCTTCAATAAAAGAAACCAACTGACTTAAAAAAAAAAAAAGACTACCATAAATGGTACAGGAGAAACTGCTAAAAAAAAGAAGAGGGCAGCAGACACCCTCTAATGTAGGTTCTGAACTAATGTCAGTAACCAACTTTGTTTTTCCATAAATAACAGGACTAAAGGTAGTATTTCTCATTTGATAACATTTTTAACAGTTTCAAAGAACTTTCATAGAATGGGACTTGTCTTGTCAGGGTTGGCTTCCCAGATCTAGAATCATCATCACATGGAAGCAACTCATCTGTAGAGGATTAATTGCTATGTGGTTATTTAAGGCAGTTTTTTTCTTTTTTTTTTTTTTTGAAACAGTCTTACTCTGTCACCTCTGGTAGAGTGGAGTGGTGTCATCATAGCTCACTGCAACTTTGAACTCCTGAGTTCAAGCAATCCTCCTGTGGAACTACAGGTGCTTGCCACTAACACCTGGCTAATTTTTCTAATTTTAGTAGAGATGGGATCTCGCTCTTGCTGAGGCTGGTCTCAAACTCCTGAGCTCAAGTGATCCTCCCACCTAGGGCTCCCAGAGTACAAGGATTACAGGGATGAGCCACTGTGCCTGGCCTAGTTAAGGCAGTTTTAGTTTTAATTCCACATTTACTATCTCTCTCTCTCTCTCTCTCTCTTTTTTTTTTTTTTTGGTATCTTATTCCCCTGCTATCTACCCAACTGCAAATAAGCCTCTGTTACCAGATTGTGTACAATGGAAGTCTCAGGGAGGGCAAATT